TGTGTGTGTGTGTGTGTGTGTGTGTGTGTGTGTGTGTTTTCTCTCCTGTGCATGTTGTTTATCCTGTAACAAGCCTAACATGCTAAGCAGGAAGTCTTATTTACTTTTCTATAGGCTTCTACTCCCATTTCAAAAACACATGTGTGTTTGGGTACCTGTGTAATATAAATGTACTATTGACCTCTCATCCCTATGCAAGGGTCACATGTTTTGATGTTTCTGGGACCCTAATGTTGCACGTTCTTGATGGAAGAGAGCTGACCTGAACCGACAGGGTTCACAAAGGTGACAGCTGTTGATGTCCCAGTGGGAATGTATGGTTTGGTTTCCTCTGTTTATGGGCACACTTTACCACAAGTAACATATACAAACTCAAAAATATTGTGAACTAAAGGGTATGTACTGTACATTCACTATTTGTCTCACTCTGCATACATACTCAGATGACCACAGTCGAGGTTAAGGCCAAGCCCCTGTTCTTTTAGCTTGCTGTTTTGTACTGTGGTACCAAGGATCGCAAAAATGGACACTCGTATGGTTTTGGCATATAATGCAGTTTGTTTTAGTGCCATTTGTTTTGGAAAACAATTGCTGAAAAATTGTCTTAAACTATGTTAAAGAAATACTGAGAAGACATTACTGTTGTGTCTGTTAGCTAAAACTGGAGGGACTTTAGCTTAGTGCTTAGCTTAGACTAAAGACTACAAACTGAAGAAGCCTCTTAGTGTAAGCCTCCTCAGAAATGGTATTAGTGGGAGGGTGGTCATGTTTACCAAGGTGTAGCATTCCCTCTTCTTTTAACAATGGTCCATAAAAGTCTGGGAACAGAGAAGACCAGTTGTTGGACCTTTGGGTCTATTTGTATTTACATTTTATATGGCATACTACCTTTCTTGGAATTAGTTTTGCAATACAATACACCCAAATAAAACAAAAAAAAACCTTTACATTAAACTTCATTTTAAAGTCTAAATAGTTCATACTGAGACTGATGAAGATAATCTCACGAGGACAATGTTACCCGGCCATATGGTGATACTGCACTGTATGCACAGACTACAAGATCATGTTGTTTGTAGTACAAGCAAGCAATAAAATTCCTTTTACCTTTTTATCAGTGTAAAGGTAGAAACCCATGTGAATAAAACCAAATCCCTCTGCATGGATACAATCCACCAGGGAGAGAAAATATTTCATGCATTTGTTCCTATTCAGTAAGACTGAAGTCAAATTCATATTTTTTTTTCTTTTTTTAAACAGTTTGAAGCCTTGCCTTTTCAGTTCTCTTAGGAAATTTCACAGTGGGATGCATCAAGCACACACGGACACACAAACGCACACCAACTGTCAAAACATCCGGGTCACACCTGCCTGCTGTTTAGCATCATCTGTATAAACAGTATTTAGAGGACATGTGACGACAACTGAATGCACAAAGGTCCACAGTGAAGAAAGACAGAACACAGAAACATTCAGGTTCTTCAGTATCCAAAAGTCAGTAAAGGGAGGCAAGAAACTATGGGGATGTCGTCTTAGTTTGTTCAAAACTCTATTTATTTAACAATTAACATTTACAGCAACTGTGGTCTAAAATAACTACAATGACTGATCGCCCTATGTTGCAGTTTCCTTCAGGTCGGGTCACATGTGACCCTTCAGGTCCTTGAAACCTTTCAGTCTGTTCTGATTCAGTCTGACATTTTGGCTCATCAGTGCAGGTACCACATCTTAACAGTGATGTCATAATGAAACATTGCCTGACTGGAAATAACATGAAGTCAGAGATTTCTTAACATGGTGGATATATTTTGGTAGTTCGGTTTATAATTATCTTATGTGCCATTATTAGAACCCATCCATGCAAGCTTTTGTAAACTTCAATGAACGGATCAGAAGATTTTTAAATCTGTGTGAGAGCTTACTTGACTGAAGGACACACTGGTGTTTGTCATTAGATTCTGATCGATCCCGTCTCGGTGTTAGATCTTTTGTCATGAGTAATTAGTGCTGCCGGGCTGCAAAACACTAATGGACTTACCCTGCTTCTGTCTGATGCTGAAGGTATGCAATAAACTCTGAAGAAAGACTTCTGCAAATAGCTGAAAGCAACAAAGTAGTTCTTACTCTGATCACAGTCATCACTGAAAAGTCTGACCTGTCAGTGACTCTGTCTTCATCGCAATAATGATTTTTTTTTTTTTTTGTGAAGTTGCGTTTGCTGAACATTCTGTCTGTAACAGATTTGCAACAGTGAAGCAGGTGAAGGTGTTTGGTAACTCTGGATAAACAATTTGGAAAAAAATGTGGTGCTCAGACTTTGTCCTGTGTTTAACATGTATAGCTGTAGGTTTTGGGGGTTTATAACTCATAACTGCTGCAAATGTAGGAAGGTCAGAGAAATTAAATCAGCCATGCAAACCTCATGACAGCAAGTTTAATGTCACTGTAATGCTTTGCACTGTGACACCACAGGCCATCCAGTCCAGTTCTAGCAATGCTAAACTTGCTTTTAGAACATTTTGCTCTGGAGCAAACTTGAGGAATTTATGTAAATTTATTTATTTATTTATTTATTTATTTATTTATTTATTTATTTACTCATTTGTTTGAGTAAAAGGAAAAAGACACAATGTCAAATATGGAAGCAAAAGTGGAAAAGAAAACACAAAAAACCCCAAAGGCTGTAATCATGTTTGAAAGAATTTAGAGGTGTTTTTGTTTGCGCCCAGCTTGACCTGACTCCTCATTCATTTCTGCAGACTTTTTGATTTCTCTCCCTAACTTTATGTAGAATCTCAGCAGGAGTCCACACAATTACACAGACAACACACATGGCCAGACACCTTTACACACAGTTAGTGGCTTTAGAGCTCCACTGCTGGCGTTAAAGAGCCAAGCCAGGGTTTCTCCTCTCCTTGTGCAGATTTTATATTGTCTGTGCGTGCGTGGGAAGGGAAAGCTAGAAAATGGAAAGGAAAAAGTGATGAAGAGACAAAAGGAACAAAGAAGAGACGGAGAGCAGAAAAGAAATAAAGGTGGTGAAGAGGTGCTCCATAGGGTGGCATTTCTCCTCGGCTTCTGCACTTTTCTCCTTTATTTCTGTAAAACACAGTCTGATAATGTATTTTTTATGAACTTTAGTGTCTAACTCTTGAGTGAAACAGGCACTCCCTTTTACCCCTCTGTAAGCACGTACATAAAATGTTAATGAGAGTCAGGAAACTTGTTAAAGGGGTTTGCATGAGGGTTCAAAATTCTGCCTTCCCTTACCGTGGGTACAATCAACCAGTTCTGTATGCATACACAGTAAAAATGTGCTGTATATGGAAGTGATTAGGAAGTGTTCGAGCCATCTGCCTGCCTTCTTGTGACCTATCAAAGAACTCCTATGATATGTATGTATTATATCTGTATTAGACCCACAGGAGTGTCTGACCTGGCTTGTGGTAAAAGCAGCTCTGAGCACTACTGATAAGATGAGCCTTTGAACAAAAGCTAATTGAAGGTTTTGGCAGGAAAAGTGCAGTGAAGGAAGTCTCCTGTCTATCCTTCTGGCGGGGCATCTGGTTCCCACAAAGCTGAAATCAGAAGCAAACCTCCTCCCAGCTCTGATTTTAGGGATTTTTTTTTTTTTTTTTGTCTTTAAATGCAGCTGAAGGATGAAAGCACAGAGTGATGCAAGAAGGGAAGCTAACTTTAGATAATAAAAGTATTAATAGGCTTGGTTCTTGGCTGTTAGATTAAAGAAGGATAAAAAGAGAAAGAAGAGAGATTTCTTTCCCCATTTTTTTACGTCTCCATATACATTCCCAAACAAAACACCTGTTTTGTCCTGCCTTGCCTAAAGGTTATTGTAGAGGAGCATGTGAATCCTCCTCTACAATAACAGCACCTTTAACCCCTTTTTGCCTGAACTATGACCCCTTAATTCAAAGGCTAGATCCTGTAGTTTAAACCAGAACAGAAACAGAAAAGAAGGCACTACAACACCACACTTTGCAGCCCTTTAACAGTTAAATTCTTGCTCTTAAATAATGCTGTGGCTAAATTAGCTGTGAGATTATTTAAAGCTGAAGAGGTAAATCAGCTGTGAATGCTGCAGGCAGTAGAGAAAAAGTCAGCCAGGAATGAGGCACAACATCCTTCAGAGTGTTAAGATGATGATAACGAGTGCAATAAATGGATACAAGTGTATGAAAAAGATCCACGTAATGCTCCACGGTCCATCGGATGTATTAAATGATTGTAATAGAGACGCTGTCTGTAAATCGCACTGACTTTAAAGGGGATCTATTGTGCTTATTTTCATCTCCATTATTTCCAAATCATGCAAGGAAAACAAAACCCACACCCAAAACACTGAGACAAAAAAAATCAGTTATGATATGAAGGAAGACTTGAAGCGTATGAGCACATCAAGTGCATCTCAGTGTCACCTTTGCCAAAGAGTGAAGTGTCACCATAAATTGTGTTTTAATTGATCATCTTTATCCCTTCAAGAAGCATCCTGAAGGATGTTTTTTCTTCCAGGGTGTGATGTTGCCTTCATCCACAGGGCACCAGGTTTGCTGTGCTCTTCATCATCATTAAAACACCAAAGTGAGGGCCTCTTCTTTGGTGTGTCACAAAAACTATTCAGCAACCACTCAGCTGTACCTTTTCGAAATAAACGCAAAGACGTGTCGTAAATTTGTCTCCAGCTGCCGTGTCCTGTCTTGTTTGAGGTGCGAGCTTGAATCAGTCAGAGCAGATGTGATAATGAATGTCTGAATCCCAGCAGCAAAGCTCCCATCACAAGCTTCAGCCTATCTCTGGTCCGAGGTCAGCGTGATATGTTGCTTCATGCTGATTACAGATCAAAGCTGCAGACTGACACGCTTTCAAGCTGGTGGTGTCAAAGTCGTGGATCTCTGCTATTTGATCTTTGACCCCAGGGTGCACGGACAGTATCCGATATGCCTGAGGTGCAACCTGGAAGGACCTCGACTCATCAGTTTGCTTTGATCTACAACAGGTTGGGACCTGATTACGTCGGGCCAATCACATATTAAAACTTTATTAACAGTACAATTGATTCTTTTGTGTTGGTGCATGTGGGCATTTTTGTCATCCTTCTGAGAACCAATCCATTTTGTGTGGGTATTTGTGTGTTCAGCTCTGCGCAGTGCCAGAGGGTAGTTTGACTGATCTTTCTTTCCCACATTCCTGTCAACGGACTCACAACTCAGCTCATTATTAGGTGTCCACACACACAAACCAAGACCTCCCTCTGCTCGTACACATAGTTCAGCTACAGCGGTTGATTCATTGCCAGTTTCTGACTCAAACATTACCGAAACTACAACACCCTAATATTGTTAGTTGCTCCAGTTCCAGTTCCCTGCACACTGCTGTTTGTCTGGACCCTTAATCTGTTATCACCATGGTAACAACATGGTTTTGAGTTTATTTACATTTTCTGCAAACCCCCACAAAAGGTTGGCCTATTTGAAACAGGGGACTGACTAGGCTCATTCTTCTAAGAAGCTCTTTTTTTTTTTTTTTAATAGCTCCTTTCATTTTAAGGTCAACAGCTCTATAAGCAAACTTGCTTCTGATTGGCTGCCCCTTGTAAATAGAAGAATCGTGTGAGTGGTGCTCCTGTGTTTGCGTCCAATCAAAGTTGACTATATGTACTCTCAATGACATCATGCATAGCCAAGTCTAGAAAAAAACTGTTGGGAATGGAGCCCTTAGAGCCATCTGAGGCCTGTGATTTTGGGAATTAGCTACTATTTATACAGTGACATAATTTTCAAACCTTTAGCTATGTTCAAAACAAGCATTCAAAATATCAAACAAAAACACATGACATAAAAGTTGCAAAATTTGAGTTACATGTCAGTGAGTTAAATAAGTATTTGATCCTTAGCTAACCATGACTTACTACTTGGTGGAGAAGCCCTTGCTGGCAAGCACAGCAGTAAGATGTTTCCTGTAGCTGGTCAGGTCAGGTTTGCACACATCTCGGGAGGAATCTTGGACCACTCCTCTTTACAGAAACTCTCCAACCCTTTAGATTTCTTGGCAGTTGCTTAGTAACTCGAAGCTTCAAGTCCTTCCACAGATTTTTTTAGAGGACTGAGGTCTGGAGACTGGCTAGGCTACTTCATGACCTTAGTGTGCGAAGATGCACATTAAGGTCTTGAAGTGGCCCAGCCAGTTTAGCCACTCCTTTGTAGCTTTGTCAGTATATTTCAGGTCATTGTAATGCCTGAAGACCCATCCATGACCCATTTTCAGTGTTCTGTCTGAGCGAAGGAGATTTCTCATCCAAGATTTTGGTACATGGTCCTGTCCATTTTCCCTTAATATATGTTAAGCCATCATGTACCGTTAGCAGAAAAACAGCACCAATGCATGATTTCCGCTTCCATGCATGACTGTGGGGATGGTGTTTTTTGGGTGATAATCAGCATTTTTTCTACAAACATGGCAGGTGAAGCAAGAGAGCTTGAGTTTGGTTTCAATGACATCTTCTCACAGCTCTTTGCTCTTGCTCACAGTGGTGGAGAGGTTGGAATGGAAGAAAGTGATTCTTTGGACAGGTGTACTTTATACAAATAACAAGCTGAAATCTGTGTCATTAATTGGTTGTTTGAAATCCCACCCATGGGAGTCAGATGTCTAGCTGGGTTGCTGGGGATCAAATACTTATTTCACTGTGACTCATATTCATTGTGTGTGTGTGTGTG